CTTCCTGTAGGGCTAGTAGCTATTCTTTCTTCTTCAAGTGATTGTCCATATGGACTCTAGTTTTGGAAATGAACATATAATGGTCTAAAGAAAAGGAGTACTTGTGGCACCTTAGAGACTAACCAATTTATTTGAGCATAAGCTTTCGTGAGCTACAGCTCACTTCACCGATGAAGTGAGCTGTAGCTCACGAAAGCTTATGCTCAAATAAATTGGTTAGTCTCTAAGGTGCCACAAGTACTCCTTTTCTTTTTGTGAATACAGACTAACACGGCTGCTACTCTGAAACATATAATGGTCTGTTTCCTTGGAGATGGGTACTAGGAGTCCTACTTAAACAATGGCAGCAGGACAGCCCGACCAAAATGGACATTCCATCTAGAAGCTTCTACCAGTGATTGTGTAACTGTATAGCCTGAGCTCTACATGGCTGCCCTACAAATTTAAAAAATAAAGACATTCTTCAAACAGGCAGCAGAGGCTGCCTCTGCACTACTGCAGTGAGCTCTAATGTGCCTAGTTGGTTCTAGCTTGGCTGGCTGGTAACATGTTCTTACGGAGTTGGAAACCAATTCTGATCATCTCTGAGGCTACTGCCCAAAGTTTAACCCTCTCTGCAAAGGTCATGAATAGCCCAGGTGTACTCCTGAATGGTTTTGTCCTGTCTGCTTTGTAAGTCAATGTAATAGAGATTTGTCTGTTTGAGAGCTGTCATGAACTTCAGCAGAACAGCTTCTGTCACAACCCAGGCTTCCTGTGCCCTGGACTCAGGTAACTACTGCTACTACTAAGCTTTGCACTTGGAAATTTTATACCATGTCACCCTCACTTTGCTTCCTTATTCCAGTGACCCTGTCCCTGGGAGTGGGTGTTGCCTAGGAAAGCTAACTAGTAACAAAGTAACATTAATGCTAATACCATGTGGAGAGGCAGGTTCCATCTCACTGCTGTAAGAAAGAATTAAGGGATGGTTGAGGCTGCTGTACCTTTCATGTCCCTTGGTTGGGTTGTGTGTGAGGGCATCTAGAGCACAGGTGTGATTGCAAAGGACACTGCTGGCCAAAATCATGCACCTGGGGTGCAAGAGTGGAATCCATGTGGTTGGTCATTCAAAGAAAGACCTTATCTTTTGTATTTCTTGAATTTAAAAATAAATTAAATATACAGCCTTCATGCTTCATTAACAGGGGGCTTATTTTTTTCATGTAATAGGTACTCATTTTAATTGCTACGATACATTGTTATTTTTTACTTACATGTATCAGTATGCTTCTGCATACCTTTCAGATGCTGAATTGTGGCTTTTATTGGTGTAATATATTGACATGATAGTATGTCTCTAAATTTCATCTTGATGATAACTGTCACAAACGGGAACAGAAATTCTATTCACTTTATCACTTATAAGAAGACTCTATTGTGGGCACAGTGCATCAGCACTTCTTTCAAAACTGAACAGCACACAACTAATAGGAAAGTCATATTGGTAGTATGACATTAGTATAGATTAGTGTCAATATATTTAGTAGGAAACTGGTCCATCTTGCAAATAGAGTCCTTGAAGTCATAGTGACCCACAGCACCATTATTCCCATATATGGAGGGGGGAACGAGCCCTTTATTGTTGCCTTGGAAAGCTTTAAATTACTCACTCCGTACTTCTTTTAATCTCCTTTGGGGTGGGGGACACAGTATACCCACTATTTCAGAACTGCATATTCAGTTTTCCTACACATCACATGAGATGTGAATACCCTTCATCCAGTGCTTTCCATTCCCTTCTCCCCTATGCCCACAGACTCCATCTCCCTGATGAAAGAATAACAACACAACCCTTTGTATTCTTTGCTATGGATAGAACCTTGTCCTTTTTTGTCTCTCAACATATGCCTTGTATGTAATGAGATAAGCCCCTCAGGGCCACATCGTAAGGTTTAGCACATCCAGTTCACTTATCATCCCCTTGTCTCACATATGTGTAGGGCCCTACCAAATTCATGGTCCATTTTGGTCAATTTCACGGTCATAGTATTTTTAAAATCATACATTTCATGGTTTTAAATATTTAAATCTGAAATTTTATGGTATTGTAACTGTGGGGGTCCTGACCCAAATGGGATTGTGGATGGGAGGTCGCAAGGCTGTTGTAGGGGGCTTGCAGTATTGCCACCCTTATTTCTGTGCTGCTGCCTGCAGAGCTGGTCAGACGGAGGGCAGCTGCTGGCCGGGCACCCAGCTCTGAAGGCAGCACCACCGCCAGCAGTAGCGCAGAAGTAAGGGTGGCAATACCATACCATGTCAGCCTGCCTTCTGCACAGCTGCTGGCAGTGACCCTGCCTTCAGAGGTGGGATCCCCAGCTAGCAGCTGCTGCTTTCTGGCAGCCCAACTCTGTGAAATCTGGTCTCCCCTAAATAGCCAGATTACATGGGGGAGATGTCAGATGTCATGGTCTGTGATGCATTTTTCACGGACGTGAATTTACGTGAATTTACGAGGCCCTACATATATGCTAGTTCAAATACTGTTTTGGCTCTGATCCTGCGCTCTTTACCTGTAGTCTGTGTATAACTATTGTTGAAGTCAATGTGAATCAGGCCCTCATTCTTTCTGAGGTAATCTTCATCAGTCTGAGATGAATTTACCTCTCTTCTTCTAGCCCATTTCCAGATGTGAACATGTGTATTAACTTCCATTAGTGTTCAATAACAAGTTTTCACAAAAGCAATAAGTCTCCACAAAGCAATAAATGAAAAGGGTTTTATTAGATGTTTACTCTGAAACATTTACAGTGTGGAAAAAATAGAGCTTTTGGGACATTATCAGTCTAATGCATGAGATTCAATGATTATATCCATATAATATATGGCCTTGTGTCCTTTTCATTGATTTACCTACATTTTTATAATGCTCAATCTAAAACCATTTATCTGCTGAATTATTAATAAATAAATGTTTCTGATGAAAAAAGACATTCAATATTGTAAGCCATATATCAAATAAACAATCGCTTAACAGCCAGAAATAAACTATTATAGATCCATGTGTAAGTGATTTATGTAGCGTAGATAAAAGGATTTTAATAAACACTTTTCATTGCAAATAAAAGATGGAGAATAGCTCACCTCGTGGTGTTCTCTTGTCCATTGCTTCATGGGTTCTAATCTGTATTTTTCCAGTATCAGATTCAGGGATTTCTGTGTTGCACCAACTGAGGACAGTTTACATAAATTGACTAGTCCGCTATTTTATGTTTGTAGTGGCAAAAGCCAATGGCATTTCTTGGGTGCTGTTAGGTTCCTCTGACCAGAAGGATGAAAGGAACTCTAACAGACACACACTTCTTGATGTTCCTGAAGCAATGCCTTTCCATTTAACTTTCGTTCTGAACTCAGAACTTTTTCTTCCCTGACAAGTGCATTGTTTTGGCAGCTGACGTTGGCATTGATGGCTTTTGAGGGCTTTGCTGTATTCCAGAGCACATGGGGCTTGATTTGCTTTGAAAGAAAGTGGCTGTGTTCATGCCCAGAGCTAAGAATGGTAATATAGGGGTTGCAATTAGATACCATATTCATATTCACATCTGTGTTACAGTTCTTGGATATGGATGCCTGGCTAGGTTTATAAATATGCATGATTTATTGAGGAGAGAATGGAAAAAGACAAGTCAAACAACCCCCTGTATGTTTTATCAGCCTTTACTCTAGATAAGTGTCTGACGTGGAAATCCCATTATAAATGCTGGGTTCTTTTCTAGGAGTTATAAAATGGCTGAAAAACACTCTTTCTTGCTAGTGTTCGGTGCAGAAGGCAATACATGCAGGCAGGGTCTGAAGGAGGCGCCTCTCTCCACATGGGATTCAGAGTCTTGAGCCCTCTCCTGGAGCTGGCTGCCTAAGCCAAACAAAAAAAAAAGTGGAGCTTCCCCTCCTCCCCCACTGTACCCTATAGCCCAGTGGTTAGAACACTCAACTGGGATGTGTGAGACCTGGCTTTAGATCCCCAGCTCTGCCTGGTTTGGAGCAGGGACTTGTACACAAGCCTCCCATATCCAAGGAGAGTGTCCTAGCTGCTGGGCTATGTGGTATTGGAGAGGGGCGGGGAACTCTCTCAATCTCTTCAGTTAGAGTTGTTCTGCTTTGTGTAAAGTACTGAAATATTACATGGAGCAAGGACTGAAACCCAGTTCATCTCTTTCCTACCCCCAGGGTGAGTGCTCTAACCACCAGGCAGTAGAGTAATTCTCACTCTCTCTGGCTCAGTCACTATTTAAAGTATTTCATACAAAGTGCAACAGCCCCAACAGAAGACACTGAGAACAGCAAGCCCCCTAATACCTTATACCCCAGTGGCTAGGGCATGCCCCTCACATGTGGGAGACTTGGGTTCAAGTTCTATTTCCCCATCAGGCAGAGGAGGGATCTGAACCTGAGCACCTCGTATCCCAGATGAGTATTTTAAATAGTGGCTTATTGTGTAAAAGAGGGCACCACCATCTCAGTGCAGGGCCTGATCCAGTAGACATGCTTTTAGGTGGCCTCTGAAAATGCCTGACAGACTGGGCTCCACAGGTGAGAATCTGAGGTTGCCTAGTTTGTGAAGGGTGCCAGAGCTTAGGCAAGAGCTGGGAACTAAGCAGCTTGACTTAATTGGCTTTTTGCTGCCCATGCTTAGCTTTTTAAGGCACTTTATTAGTTGGAAACTTAGGTGCCCAGGGAATGTAGGCACATACAGGGTTCGCTGGCAGCTGAGCAGACTTTTTGAGGAGCTAAAGTTTGGACTTAGGCACCTGAAGTAGTAGCTAGGTGCTTAAATCGCTTTTGTGGATCTTAGCCTTCTGTAGTTTAAATAGAACATCTGAGATTTTTTAAAAGCGTGCATGAGGTTGCTCTAAGTATTAACCCTGTGATGGAGTGGGCTCTGTTGTAAAGTATTTGTTCTCAGATTTGAACAGTAGTCTTTCTTTTCAGAATTTTGCAAATGGCTTTTCTCTGTTTTACAGAGTCAACAAGTTGCATACTATTGCAGCAGAGATGTCTGATTTTCCCATCTGCATATCTGGAATCGCTTATTCACTTCGTTAGTCTCATTAGTAACCACTGAAGACTTCTGGGTATTGAAGATAGATGAATTAAATCCTTTTGAATGTTTTTGATCTAAGGTAGATGTATTGGATTCTCTGGATGTGCATAAGGACACGAAGGTTGGTGAACTCTCTAAAAGCCTGAAGTTTCTGAATTTAATTTAACCATTACTAATATAGAGTATATTAGTTATATACAGTGGTGATTAATATACAGCATGTAAATATTTGAGAACATTGAAAGATCTAGCCAGATTTATGTTGCCACAAAACACACTGAACCAAATTTACCACTAGGTAAAACAGGTGCTCCTTCATTAGATTAAATGGGATTCCACATGCTCACCCTGCAAGGAATTTGGTCCATCTAGATAATGTGAGATATCACACTTCAATGAAAAATTGGCCACACTTCTCCCAAATGGAAGTATGTTATCTGTATAATTAGCTAGCCAAAGTACAGAGAAAACAGTTAAATGTGATAGAAGAACTGAATTCATTATGAATTGTATTTATTCATTTCTCTGGAAACTCTTTGATGATAATCAGAATTTAATTAAATATTTGTACAGTACGTGAATTCTAGATGATCAACACCCAATTCAGGAAATCATCCCTATTCTGGACAGCAACTTTAACTCATGTTCAAATGCAATCCTGATTACAGATGGAATTAAGTACGTGCTTAAGTGCCTTTCTGAATAGGGCCCTTAGTTGCTTAGAACAATTTGATTTAGTTTTTTTTTTCAAACCCAGCTGCATAGAATCATAGAAATTGAAAAGTCCTATTTGGTCAAGTATTCCATCTCCCTGCCTGTGCAGGACTCCTCCATACAAATGCCTTGTCCAGTCCAATTTTAGGTATTCCAAGCAATGGAGCTTCCGGTTCTTCCCTTGGAGAACAATTGAGGCAGGTCAGGATGAAGGTGTATTGGCAGGGTTTGAAGAAATCATCACAGAGACAGTCCTACCTATTCAATTGGTTCAGCTGCCATCTAATTTATAAGTAACAATATGAAATATATGTGCAAGAATCTACATTTGTGAACACTAACCAGTTAGCTCTTCATGTGTGCATGAAAATGACTATTTGTGGGATCCTGCAGTAGCAATAGGTACATATGCATCCTTGCAGGGCCAAACAGTAATGAGCTACTTAAATATTTCATGGTGCACCCAGCACAAGTCATAATATCATAAATAAAGGACAATTAAATTCCACAGCAGTTTTCCACTGAATTGGAAACACTGCTGAGTGTAACAGAGAGAAGGAGTAGATGATTCTGACCTTGACTGTGTCTGTGATTGCCATTGCTTTTTTTCCTTCTTTTGCAAAAAGTTCTGTAGGAATTTTCGGCAAAATTATTTTCTCCAGCTTCAGATAAAAATATTCGATGGACCTCAACCTATTTACACTGGCTATTTTTCTAAATAAATATTTTGTGAATAATATCTGTTCTTCTTCTTCTCCGTAGTCTGTTACAATGGTTAGGGGGAGGCATATTGATTAATAAAGATACAGCTCAAAATTAGCATTGTGATGATATTGTAAACTATATGGATTGAGCTTTCCTTTCATTGCAGATGATATCACCAGGCTACCTCAACTGAATTACAGCCTTGTAATCAATCTCTTTCTCTGTAACTTTGTCTATGACTACTGCATGCATACTGCATATCCATGCTCTGTATATAAAGATGCACAGAAAAGAAGAGACAGAAAACAAGCAATCCTTTGTCAAAAGAGAGTGCATCCCATTGGCACTAATTGCCTATTCCAAATATAAAAATGAATGCATAGGAGAAATATAAAAATGCAACAAAGTTCAAAGTATACTTCCAGTCCTGTTCTAATGATGTCAGAGTTTTGTTATTGTGTTCAATGGCAGCAAGATGAAGTGTGTATATAAATATTAGTATCAGTTTGGGGAAGAATAGGGGGAGGATTGCAACATTTTGCAAAAGTCCTCCTCTTCCCTCCCTACCCTTTTTAATTAAGACTTTATCAAATTTTTGAAATTTGATGTTGCCTAGTTCTATAACTGCTCATAAAACCCACCATTTTAAAATAGTTAAAATGGGGGGGGTAGTTTGAAATTTAATGTTCAGCAAGCTCTAATTATATATAACTTTAAAGCTGATTATTTGATACAAATATTCATGATGACTATCATAGCTTGTTGACTGGCAGATTGTTTTGCAAAACAATGTGAATTCCTGTAAATGATTGTAGTCTCCCATGAGAATTCTCTCATACTAAAGGGGACTAAAGATGAGGGAATCTGAGTTCCCTGTCATAGAGACTTGTCCCTAGTTGTCCCAAACTTTATATCCGGTTGTGAGGCCAGAATCTAAACTCTGGAGTCTGTTGGGGGTCCATTCTGGAGACAGAGGGAAAGAGCAGCAGCCAGTTAAGCCTTCAATTTTTTTTCATAGATTCTATCATGCTCATATGAATGTTTGTCGAAAACTAATAAAGGATTGTGGAGAACATCAAAGTGAAATTGCAGTTTCTATTCAAACAAGAGGTTTGTGAATACTTTTTTGTGTAGTAGTTGTCCAGCTCTATTCTGCAGTATGTGGTGCCCTGGCATTTCTAACCTCTAGTCTTTCATATCTCTCAAACTATTCATTTTTTGCTTAATCCTGCTGTCCTCTCTCAGGCAAAAATCTCACTAAAGTGAATTGGAATCTTCCCTAAGTAAGGAATGGGTAAGGACTTTAAGATTTGACCCAATATCAGGAACCATCAAATAAATCTGATTAGGTATTTGCATGTTGAAACTGTCTCTCTTAGTTCAATACCTGCACAGAAGAGGAGAGGAGAAAGAGCCAAATGGCATTAGTCTGAGGCATTCTACAGGGTGCAGGGTGCAGACACAGGCAAAATTCCTAGAGTGTTGGGGCCTGCATGATCCCTAGCACCCAAGCACTGTCTCTCCTGTAAAAGGTGTAGCGCACCACCTTCTGTGATGTCAGTGAACAGCAGGCTTGTGAGAGGTGCCACTCCAAGGCTGGACACATCTCTTTTCTTTTTTTTAGGGACTCGGGTACTACTGTCCACATCAACTATTCCCTTTCCTATTCACCCTACAAAGCATTTGCTTTGGTCCGTACCTGTGTGAACAAAGGATGGGAAGGAAGATGATCTCTGTGCTTGCCTCCCCTTTCCTTGCACACCAATGTGGGAAGCACTGCAGTTTGCCCCACCACACTTATTACTTGAAGAAAGTAACAGAAAACAATTGTTAGGCAATTTCAATTCTCTCCAAAGCTTAGTAATACTCAGGCTTTTTTACTTATACCCTCTCCTATTATTCTCTTAGCTAAAGAATTTGAATGGATAAAACTGTATTTTCCACTCTTTTGTTGGTAAGTTCATTTTATTTCTGTTCACCAGTTCATGGTCCTTTTCTTTATTTATATGATCTTTTCAATACACTATTGCCATATATATTTGGGTTTACTGATGTGTGCTATATCATAACTGCTAACCACTTCAGGGTATCTATTCAGATTACATTTTCCTTTATACAGACTAAAACACTCTGGCAAACATTCAGCTTATTTCAATGTCAAGGCAATAATTTAACAAGGAAGTTTATGATAAGCTTCACATGTACCACCTATTAAATAGTGAAGACCATAGGGGGGAATCCCAAACAAATTCTATGTAGTGTTGTTGTAGCCGTGTAGATCCCAGAATATTACAGAGGTGAGGTAATATCTTTTATTGGACCAACTTCTGTTAGTGAGAGAGACAAGCTTCTGAGCTTACATAAAGCTTTTCTTCAGACATTAGTGTATGAAAAAGATCATATAAATAAAGAAAAAGACCATGAACTGGTGAACAGCAAGGTCTCTGAAGAAGACTCCTGTGTAAGCTCTAAAACTTGTCTCTCTCACCAACAGAAGTTGGTCCAATAAAAGATCTTTACCTCACCCACTTTATGCCTCAAATAAATTCTAGTCATTTGTCCCTAACTGTCAATAAAATGTGGACACCAAATAGTTTTCACTTAAAAAGGGATGATAAGCAGCTTTCACTGTCTTGGTAGTTTAACCATATATGGATTTTAAAGTTCTTTGAATTAAAGAAATATGGATTTTTGTACTAGATTTAAAAAAAAAAAACACTAGCATTTTAAACAGCAGGACACAATTGCAGACTATTTGCAGTCAAGAGGTTATTGCTGAACAAAATGCTCATTCAATTTAGGAATGCAGATTATAATAATTTTCCTATCTCCCTCACAGCAGGATTCCTGCCATCGTTTTGCAGACTCATAAGTTGCAGAACAATATAACTAGCTAACTTCACTTCCAGGTAACATGCACTTCAAGCGTATTCTCATTAGCTCAACTTAGTTATAATGCAAAGCTGCTTAGTTTCACCAAGTAAATACTCACCTACAACCACATACCACACAACAGAACCACTAACCCAGGAACTTATCCTTGCAACAAAGCCCGTTGCCAATTGTGCCAACATATCTATTCAGGGGACACCATCACAGGGCCTAATAACATCAGCCACACTATCAGAGGCTCGTTCACCTGCACATCCACCAATGTGATATATGCCATCATGTGCCAGCAATGCCCCTCTGCCATGTACATTGGTCAAACTGGACAGTCTCTACGTAAAAGAATAAATGGACACAAATCAGATGTCAAGAATTATAACATTCATAAACCAGTCGGAGAACACTTCAATCTCTCTGGTCACGCAATCACAGACATGAAGGTCGCTATCTTAAAACAAAAAAACTTCAAATCCAGACTCCAGCGAGAAACTGCTGAATTGGAATTCATTTGCAAATTGGATACTATTAATTTAGGCTTAAATAGAGACTGGGAGTGGCTAAGTCATTATGCAAGGTAGCCTATTTCCTCTTGTTTTTTCCTACCCCCACCCCCAGATGTTCTGGTTTAACTTGGATTTAAACTTGGAGAGTGGTCAGTTTGGATGAGCTATTACCAGCAGGAGAGTGAGTTTGTGTGTGTATGGGGGTGGGGGGGATGTGAGAAAACCTGGATTTGTGCTGGAAATGGCCCACCTTAATTATCATGCACATTGTAGGGAGAATGGTCACTTTGGATAAGCTATTACCAGCAGG